GGGAAGGCCGCCCAAAAACACTTTCAGGCAGATTTCCCTGGTCTAGAAGTTTCAGCAGGGTAGGAATTGTCCAAGAAACACCGTTTCTACATTTTTTTTTTTTTTCATGAATCTCAAGTCAAGAGCCGCTAAAGTCTGACCTCTGTCGGCTGACACCAATGCCGCTAGTGTTACCAACTTATGAACCAGCTGTTTCAAACTAAGACTATTACCTTGGCAACAATGCAGAAGGTACTCTAGGACCCGACTGACGTCCCATGTTGAAACATATCTTGGGCAAGGAGGACTTTTGTGAAACAGACGAAGCTCTCATCAGTTTGGACACTAGAGGGTGACTACCCACATTACAATGGTCTACTGGTAAGTGTACAGACGAGATCGCAGAACGAGCCACCCCAATTGACATACAATGTCTAGCCGTAGTTCTGTCGGGACATCCATTCAAGATATTCTACTACGCTCTCTATAGAGCCGCAAACTGGATCAATCTTCCTTCTATCACACCAGCTGGCCCACTGAGCCCATGCTGACTGATACTGTCTAGAAGTGCTTTTTCTCCAAGCCGACAGGATGAGGTCTGAAGCCCCTGCCGAGAGACCCCGACCCTGCAACTGTCGCCTGATCTTGGCCACACGGCAAGCATCAGATCTGGCAACAGCGGATGGGGTCTCCTGTTGTGCGGCAGGAACAGCAGATCCCAGCTCTGTGGCAGGAGAACCGGACTCTCGAACAACATGTTCAACACCTTGGGGTACCAAGTCTGAGACTTCCAAACTGGAGGTATCAAAATCACTATTGCTACTCTGACTGGACTTTCCTCAGTACCTTGAACACTAGGCTGAAGTGGGGAAAGGCATGCGCTAGCCCTAGGTTGCCTCAGTAAATGTTTAGGCCATCCACCGACATGGCCTCTGGTTCTGGGTGCCAAGAGACATACTCCTTCAGCTGAGCGTTCATACGAGACGCAAACAGATCTACTGTCAACGCATTGCCTGTCCAATTGTTCAATGACAGGAAAAACTGAGCGGTTCAGTTGCCACTCTACCTTGTCCAGAAAAACCTGCGAACACCTGTCCGCTAGGGTGTTTGTCAATCCGGGAACGTGAGTTGCAGACAACGTCAGGCCTCTTCCAGGGCCCACGACCACATCTCCAGGGCCAAGGCTGCCAAATCTGGCGACCTTGTTCCCCCACCGTGATTCACATATGCAACGGCTGTTGCGTTGTCCAGCCTTAGCAGAACATGCTGAGTATCTGCGCTCACAAAGCTTCTTAGCGCCAGGGAGGCCGCTTTCAATTCTAGTCAGTTGGTCACAGTGCATGCGCGCTTCTGTTTGCGACCAGCGCCCGCCTGTCTCCTGACCATAACGATGCGCGCCCCATCCCTCCAGTGAGGCATCCGTGCAAATTGTCAGGTTTGACGGAACAAAGACTCTGCGACAGTTTACGTCACGCACATGACCGATCCACCACTGTAGATCTTTTGCTGCATCTGGGGTTAGACTGACTGAAGAGTCGAAATTCTCCCGGCTTCTTTATGCCGAAATTGAGAAGCTGTTGCAGAGCCCGGAAATGTAAGGGCCTGGGAAGAATGGCTTGCTTGGTGGACTCTAACAGCCCCACCACGCTGGCTAGCTGCCTGGTTCCTATCACCTCCTGTTCTAGAAGTGATAGGCAAGAACTCAATACCTTGTCTAACTTGTTTTCGGTTAGGTAAATTGTCAAAGTACGAGAATCGAGAACAAGGCCTAGGAAAGTCGCTACCTGAGACGGTACCAACTGCGACTTCTCCAGGTTGAGAACAAACCGAGTTGCCCTAGAAGCTCTCTGGCTATAGCAATGTGCTCTAAGCATTGTTCCCTCGACCTTGCAATGATCAGTAAGTCGTCTAGGAAAACTACTACTAGTAATCCCTGTCTGCTTAGAATGGGCCGCAAAACCTTGGTAAATACCCTCGGCGCCGACGTCAGACCGAGGGGAAGACACTGAAATTCCCAAAGAACTCCTCTCCACGAAAAAACGAAGGAATTTTCGATCGCTCTGAGCTATTGGGATGGTAAAGTACGCATCCTTTAGATCTATAGTTGCTAGAAAAACTCCTTTTTTCCACAACTCTTTGACTAGGTTTATCCCTTCGAACTTGCAAGTACGTTTCAGAACAACTTATTTAAGGACTTTAGGTTTATAACCGGTCTCTAGCCTCCCCGAGCTTTCGGGACTAGAAAAATCGTAGAACATATAGGCTCTCGCAGGGTTCGATTTGGACCCCTGCACCTTTCTCCAACATACTGTGCACTTCGTCGTCTAGAACCTTTTGCTCTGCCCTCCCCCGATATATTTGTGACCGGCTGGACGAACTGAACCGGAGTGGACTCCCAGTTTTCCATGAAAAAAAAAGCTGTTCGCCCTGCGTGTTTGTAGCTATAGTTAAACCTTGAACGGTTGGACTGAAACCTGTCCCTAGCCCTAGAAGTGCTCGAAGGGCTGGCTTATAAGCCTTACTCAAAGTGCGTCTAGCCTAATCGGCTGCATTAACCTTCTCCAAAAAGGTGTCTCCAAATTAAGAAGGGGAAAGAATCTGAAGTTCCCGAGCAGGTCGCTACATTTTTGAGCGAGGACATTACTCACAAATTCGGAGTTTAAAGAGAGGAAGGAAAACTTTTCCCACTCCACCTAATGTTGAATTAGCACTTCGGGCGCCGATTCTAGACCCAGTAGTGGCTAATATGATCAAGCATGATGCCGTAAACACTGATAAGAATTTTAGTGATTGCCAGGATAAGATGCTCATGGCTGCTAACCTTTTAGTAGAGTTGTTGGCAGCAGTTAAGGGTTCGGACCATCCTCTAACCGGATGCTGTTTGCAAAGCGATAGAATCGTCTTTGGTGTTTTTTGGGATCAGCTTCCTCTACTATGACTCAGTATAGACGTGAAATGTGTGGCAAGGACATGAAACAAGATATGAAACATGTTTTCAAGACCGATTTGCCCACCGGTTCCTCCAAATACTTATTTGAAGTTATTATCGTAGGGATTATCAAACGACAAGGAGTTACCTTCGTCAGAGTCAGAAAAGGTGATTTTTTTCCTTCCTCCGAACACTCTTCCACTTCAGAACCTGGATGCTCTCGCCCGGAAAAGACTACACCGGCTCGGCTGGTCGACGCTACCGCCCCGTCAACGTCCCGAGGTTGACGGGATGAACTGGACGCCTGAGGAAGTCCCAGGCTGGAACTGATCCACTGAAGAAAAGAGGCAGCGTCGAATCCAGGCGGGAAGGTGTTTCTGATGGAGGTGGGGGTGGAGGAGACTTTTCCCCACCAAGCTTTGGCACGGTCGGGGAGCCCAACTCCTCCGAGCCCGGAGGAAATTTAGGCCGGGGCGGCGGCAGCTCCGCGCCGTCTCCTTCCTTGACCGATGTTCCCGGTGCCAACGCCAAAGGGGCATTTCGCTCCCAAGCGGCGGATGTTCCCGGTGCCAACGCCGGAGGGGCATTTCGCTCCCAAGCGGCGGAAAGAGGTTGGAGTTCTTCTCTTTTTCCTCCGAACCTCCAGCTGTAGGAGAGAGGACTTTTCGTTCACCCGACTCCTCTTCCTCCTGTCCGGAGGCTTGTGCAGACATGCCTGTCTTTTCCACGGCCAGGAATTTTTCCTGACTAGCGTTGGGAAACAGGCCGCTTCTCTTGCCGTTACGACCCGTCTGGTCCTCCGAAAGGCTACCTGAATCGCCCTCGTGGGCAGAAGACTTCGTTTTATCCTTCTTTTCGGGCCTAACGCCGAAAGAAAATCCGAAAAAATAAGGAGTAGGGAAACGAACGTGCACCCCTCTGCGAACGCACAAGGAAAATGGCGGCGAACAATGTCATTACGTCATGATATCCCGTGATGCTTTGCGATTAGAGCTTTGTACACGTGCGCCACCTAGCGATAAGCATAGGAAATACTGCATAAGGTAAATGATATACCCAAATAGGGAGTGTGCAGGTATAACTGGTGTGCTACTTCTAAAAGTGGTTTACCTGGTTTTATGTATAAAAAAACAGAACAACATTACGCTATCCGAATGCTCTATGATGTTGTTAATGGATGCTGTAACAGTTGGGGGTTTATAGGCGCTACCAACTGACCCAGCCAATGGGTCTAGACCTTTTAGCTCACTCAGTTAGAGCGTCTGACTGTGGCCCGGGAGCCGTGAGTTCGAATCCGGCCCGGGACCAAGGGGTTTTTATCTGTTTCTACTGTCTCCTCCTGGTTTCTTACAATGCGATCTCTTCCGCAGAATCTGACTTTAAGTGTTACAAATGTATATATGGGGCAAAACACTATAGATCAAGAGGGGGCCAGCATTTTTGGGTGATGAATGATAGCATTACTTGACTGACCATCACACATACACACATACCATATTTTCTGAGCCAGCTTGACCTTCCACCTCCTGTACATGAGTGTTTATGTCCAGGATGAGACTAGTGAGCGTGTTCCCGTGTTCCACCGGAGCCTCCCCGTTCCTGGAGGCGTCCTGTTTCTGCGGGGAGTGTTCCCCATCCAGCGGGGCAGGCTGGGACATCAGGATGACGGCGGCCAGCGAGCGCAGGATCAGGCTGCGTAACCTGAGCCACTGTCTGTCCTGGCAGAACGACAGCTCGATATGTTGGTCCGTCAGCTCTCTACAAGCGGGGGGAAAAGAAGACTGCTATTTCAAGCTGGACTGGAAAAAAAACTGGCACAAGGAAGAGATAGAGTGTGTCTCGAAAGCTAGAGTAGCTATCATTTTGTTGTGTGTTTTGTTAAAATATTCGTTGGCACCAGTTCAACTGAGAAAAATGGTCCACCCAATATACATTGTAAGAGTAATACACTAACAGCAAAATACACATTGTGCAGGCACCTTCTGTCTAGATACAGTACAAAATGTAGGTTTGATGATGGCTTAAAAATTAAATGACTGCCTGACAGTGTGTTTAAATTCCTGGGGGATTGTAGCTACACTGGGGTGGGGAAAACCCACAATATTATAGGCCCCACGCATATACAATGTAAATTTGTACCATTGAGCACTTTAACTTGCATGGTTATTCAGTACCTGGGGAAATACAGGTATACGTATTGCTTTTGTCATAATATATAGTTTGTGTAGCAAAACCTGTTTACGTATTAAAACCTGTGTATCTTTGGGAAACTGCTTCCACAATGGTTGTGTATCTCACATGTATTTTGTCATTTCTGTATCAAGCTAGTATGGTACATTGTATTCAATTGCACCCGAAAGTAACAAAAATTACAATCATATACAAATCATATAAATGCAGGTATTAAACCAAGAATGGAGAATGTTGTCATTCACTGTGTACCTTTCTTTTGGCTCCCATGATGATAGAACTGTAAGATCTCGGTTGTCTTTTAGAAGGTCCCATTTTATCTCATCTGCAGGGAAAAGTTAAGTCAGCTTGAGTTAGAAGAAAGAGAAATACCGTCTAGAGGTAATTCAAGGATACACACTGTCAGATATACTGAGTATACTCATATATGGGGTGGCAAGAGATTATCATTATAGTGGGATGACATAATCGGTTATGCCATTTTGACCATTGGCCTCCTCTCCAGTGCTCCCCTCAACGCACTTCTGGATTTCAGTGCCACACACAGCTTAGAAGCTTTCAAAACATCCTGTCAAACTACAACAGTACTGTTACAACTGTTACAGTTAATAGTTCAAGAAATCTTTTCTTGTGTACAGAATGGTTTTCTTGCTAGAAGAACAGTTATTAGCTCTGAGTTTAAGAAATCTTTTCTTGTGTACAGAATGGTTTTCTTGCTACAAGAACAGTTATTAGCTCTGAGTTTAAGAAATCTTTTCTTGTGTACAGAATGGTTTTCTTGCTACAAGAACAGTTATTAGCTCTGAGTTTAAGAAATCTTTTCTTGTGTACAGAATGGTTTTCTTGCTACAAGAACAGTTATTAGCTCTGAGTTTAAGAAATCTTTTCTTGTGGGCAGAATGGTTTTCTTGATACATAACAGCTGTTAGTTTCTTATTTTCTTATGCTAAAGAAGCTAGACATTTTCCGTGTAAGATCCTGCACTTCTTATCATAAGAAAAATATTCTTCGTATTGGTTCATTAGCTGTAAGACAAAATTCTTAGAATAAGAACAATGTGGGTTTCTTAAATTTTCTTGCCACAGGGATTCTTGTTCAAAGAATAATATTCTTGCTGACAGAAAAACTTCTTTGCAAGAGAAAAAACAACAAAAAGCATTTTTGGTAGTGTAGTAACCGTTACAGTAAAACTACACAATCTCAGGTGGAATTAACCTTATCAATTAATTTTTTGTTCTGTTTTGTTGAGTACAAGAAACATATGAGTTGGCGTACTGCTAACACCAAGTTTCTGTACGTCAGAACAAAAAAAGTTGAATCAAAGCGTCATAATTGAGAAGAAGCATATCATAGCCAATTTCACACAGTCAGATTTCAGATAAACATAAACAGCCTACCCTTCTCTGGAGATATCTCCATATAGTCCAGCAGTTCTCTCATCTGTTCTGGACTGAAATAAAAAAAATACACACAAATTAATACCAAGTTTTTTAACCTCCCTGTCAAATATCCTAGCAAGTCTTATCTTAATCATTCACTCACTCTGTCAAGCTTGCTCGGAATCTTTCCACAACATCTTAGTATATTACTTAATTCAAAAATTTCTTTTTTTATATATATATGATAAATGGATACAAAAAATACACAAAATTGTTGTACCGATACGTGAAAACTGCAGTGTAATGTTGCAGTCACAAAGTTGGGAGTACTAGAATCTGATATTACACGTACTTGCTCAAGATATCAAAATCTATGTTTTTCACATAGTTTTAATACAACAGGCATGTTAGCTCTTTCCCTCTAGAAACAAGCGGGTTATGACAAACATGTTTACTTTGTAGTCTCCATGATGAAGTCCAGTATCATACGTTCCACAGCCAGGGCTGAGTAGTTGTGGGACAGGTTCAGCCTCTCTCTGAACGAGATGATCTCAGGGATCTGGAAAAAAAAATTCACAATGATGGCAAACTCATGTACAACTCAGATGAACATAAAAATTATAGCACAAGGCTGGAAATACTGGGTGCATGTGCACCTTAGTGCACCCAAAGTTGGAGCTGTGCACCCAATTTATTTCTGTGGGTGCGCTAGTGCACCCAAATATTTTTGTACGTATTCTTTTTTACATACTAAATGTATATTAGTATACAGGATATTCTTGGAATCTGTCAGAAATATCATAAAATCTATGTTGTAGTATTTCTGTAAGATTTTGATGTTACATGTACCTCCCATTTCATATTCAAGCATAGAAGAGGAGCAGTAAGACCTGTAATTAGTTTTTGTTATGTATGGTGCACCCAAAAATTTTTTGTGCACCTATTCCTAAACATGAATTTCCAGCCCTGTAGCATTTTTGAATCTTTTAACCATATTCCTATGTCAAGGGCTATCCATTTATCTGCTGCATTTTATATTATCTTAAAACTTTCAACAAATTTCATGTTGCAATTTCTGTGTCTACATGCTACTAGAAGTTGATTGAATCAAACTGAATCCTTCTTTTTCTCAACTATCAAACTAAACTGTCAAAGATCAACTGTTGGCATTACAAACACTTGTCTGATAGTATCATAATTATTCTTCAGGTCAGCAGGACCAAATTTCAAAACTCCTAACAGTATTAATGTGGGGAAAATATGGTAACAATAATTGATACACAACTTCAGTCTATTATATGATAATATTCATGATCATGCAGGATATAAATGTATGTAGACTTTTGACTGACCTTATGGAACGATCCATACTTGTAGGCTGCAATAATGTACTCAGTGGTCTGTAGGAAAGGCAGTAGACTGATATTCATGGCTATACATTTGTACATTGTATGTTACATGTATGAAGTCTACAGTTTCTAGTGCTAATAGATGTTCATTGTACAACCGATTTCAAGAGTTTGGATGTTGTACATGTAGATAGATTTGAATATATCTTTAGTAATATATGGTACAAAAATTGGTACTATATATAAAAGACTGCTTTGTTATTAGAAAAAATACCGAAACTTGTGATTAGCCCACTCGATTGTAACACTTTATCAAAGACTTGTGCTAGCCCTTATTGTTTGAGTACTTAAGATACATGTACATTGTACAAAATGTATGTTAGGTTTTATTTGACATTAGGTCTTATTCAACACATTTATCTTATTGTTTGTTACTTTCTTTATGTAGTTTGCCATACATTGTACCATGTGCAATTGTCATGCAATAAAGTTCTTCATATATCATTGAAGAATGATGTCTTAGGCCACACCAATTTAATTTGTTGGTTCTCGGATTTTTTCAGAAAAAATATGAAGCGACAGGGCGAAAAAAAATAAAAATAAAAACAGGTCTAGGCATCCTATTATAGCCTTAAATGCTACGGAATGAGCCATGAAGTCAACACAAAAGGCTGGGTTGAAATTTAAACATTGAATTTTGAACTTTTAACCAAACCACTGCAATGACAGATGGGAAAACTGTAACAAGTAGAAAGAAAAGGACTTTCCTCAACTGTTGGGGGCAAAACATGAGCATTTTTCAGTTGATTCAGGACCAGAATCATTTTTTTTTTGCAAATCAGAAAAAAACAAAGAGGCGAATCCGAGAACCAACAAATTAAATTGGTGTGGCCTTACCCTCAGATTAGCAAGCTAACTGCAATGCAGTGACAGGCATTGTACGACACATAGAAGGGCTCAACACAGGAGCTCAATAGAGATTACCAACACTGATGGACTTTCACAATTATCATTATTTGTCTAAGGCCACACCAATTTAATTTGTTGCTTCTCGGATTACCCTGTCCATTTTTTTCCGATTTGCAAAAAAAAAAAAATTTTGTTATTAACTGCAAAATGCTCAATGAAAGACATTTTGGTTTAAGAAAGTCCTTTTCTTCCAAGTTGTTACAGTTTTTCAATGTAACAATGCAATTTTGTTTCATTAAAAGTTCAAAATCTATTGTTTTGATTATAAACCAGCCTGGTATGTTCACTTCATGGCTCATATTGTAACATTTCCGGCTATCATGGGATGCCTAGGCCTGTTTTTTATTTTTTATTTATTTTGCCCTGTCGCTTTTTTTTTTTAAATCTGAGAAACAACATATCAAATTGGTGTGGCCTAAACCAGCTGATTGTGCCAGCTTTTTCCCTCATTAAGCTTCAATTAAAGAGTGTTGACTTACATCTTTGTGGTTAGCAGAGAAAAACTTGAGCATGGCACTAAGTATGGAGCAGGCAGGAGTGAGGTGTCCCAGAGCCACAGCATAGCAGGCATAGAAGTACCCCAGCGTGTCCTGCTGAATGTGTTTAATCTCCATGTTGTCATATAGCTTCTTACAGGGATGAAATGCACCTAAACAGAACACACAAAATACATGAGGAATATACACATAACTTATCATGTCTCGACTAGGTGCTAATAATAATACACTGTACAAATTTATAAGTCATATACATGTAGCCAGAAATTTCGAGACACAAAGTAGACACTAACAGGACACACAGAACGTTGTTATGACCTACCCAGTAGAATGTACAGCTTGATGAGGATGAGTTTGTATTGTGCATTAGATGGGCTACTGGCCACTCCCTTCTCAAGCATCACTATCAGTTCAAACAGTAGGCCTAGCTTCTCTGAAAAACAAACAAACAAATGGTGATAAAGTCTCATTCATGTATTACTAAGCATTCGTCCAAGCAGGTACATGTACGTACCCTTAAAGACTGAACTGCAAAAATTTACTCATTCATTCATTCATTCATTCCTTGTAGTAGTTACTAGACGGCTGTCAGCCAATCACATTATGATGATAACAATTTCATTATTTTTCTGACACTTACATGTTAAGAATATGCTTTATACAATGTACATTGCCACCAAGCACAGTTGAGGCATCATCACTAAAGCTTTAAACAACTCCTGCAATTAAATGTGCAGAGATTGAGTGTAACAAGTCGTTCGGTGTGATATAGCTAGCTGCTGCCGCGCCGCGCCTGCAAAAGCTGGTTTGTTACGCCGAAGGGCGGTTATACTGGCTATACCGATACAGACATTGTACATGTATGTCATGTACATCTTTACATAATATGTAAACCTACACAAATATTTGGTGCAATGAAGAAAAGAATTGGGTGCACAGCTCCAAATTTGGGTGCACTAAGTAGCGCATGCTCTGACAATGAATGGAAAGTCATAAACCATTATCCTACTACACTATGTATTTATCAACCTATTTCGCCATACGTACTTGTCTTCATATAGACTGCATACTTGATATGTACTGCCATTAACAGGTAGCTGTCACTGGGTTGGACATCGGTGGGGAGCAAGTCTTTTCCTGAAATGACAGCAGGGGTCAAACTTTAGATTGTATTGTCCAAAACTTGACCAAAGTAAGAAAGTTCAGACCCTATCTGTCCCTTCTGGCCTAAAAGTATTCAGACTTGAAGAAAATTTTCAAGAAAAAAATTTTTTCAAAGCGTCTGATACATTTTGTACATTATATATTAACTACGGACCACAGTTGTGCCCCCATTTTGGGACCTGCACTTAGCACCACAATGGTGACATCAGCCTTTAACAGACATTAATAATGCCCTAAATGCTAAACGTATCTTTACTGAATCACTTTGTCTTCTAGTTAAGGCCACACAGACTTAATTTTAAGGATGACATCCTCTGAAGACCCCCAAACTACAGAAGTGTGCGCGGGCGAACAAAAAAAAAAATTCCAGCTGAAATAAAAATGCTCCTAAACCACAGGAATACAAAGCTGGTATCCTATACGACAAGCCTGCACATGCTGGATTTTTGCGGAATTTATGAATTGGCACTGTACTTGTGTACTGAGTTCTTGAGTCGTGGAGCTTCAGTAGCCTGGGTGCCATCCCCCAGAGTTACCACCGGCTCCATATTGTAGCTAACTACCATGGACTACCCAGGCCTAGGGCCAGGCCAGAGCCTCAGAGAATGTCATGATCTTTTTTTTTTGTTTAGAGAACAGGCAATAATCAATGCGCGTGAGGATGTCATCCATAAAATAAAGGCGGTCTAACCAACCCACCGAACTGTAAGCCATGTTGATGTCTTCTGGTGAGGTCCTGAACCAGCTCCTCCCTGTCCCCTTCTGTGAGTTGTTCCTGCAGGCCCAGAGACCTGGCCAGCCCCACACAACAGATGTGCCTCTGCATGGCCTGGACATCAGCAGGCAGACTCACGTCTCCTGTCTTCTCATCAGGGATCTCTGTGTACGTCTGCAACTCTTCAACAAACTGGAACATATTTTACATAATAAACCATTTACATTTCTCAAATCAACAACAGATTTCAAGAGTATCGATGCCAGAGACAGATTTCCCACCCAGTATTTCGAGCCATGAATTAGAATTTATTAGGTTTTATTCTATATCATGTAGATTGTATCTACAATGTAATCCTGTGAAAACAGTATACCTGTGCATGGTTGTCTGGGTTCAACATGCTCACATAAGGCCTCATGTCCATAAAACAGCAGGGCTTGTCTCCAAACTTGATAAAGTAATCCTTGAGAAGATCAGCTGGTAGCCCTGGAAAAGAGGGTGCATCAAGAAGCAAACAAAAGTAAACATTGTATGTACATGTAGTTATGATAATTAATATCTAATCAAAGTATTGTTTGCTTCTTGAAAGAAAGATTATCTATGACTACATTGTATCATACTGAGCAGTGCTGCCAGGTTCTAAATCAGCTGCCATGCTCAATGTGACATCATTGGCAGTGGTCGAAATACTTTTTTTCAGTGCCCTGCAATATTGCAGAAGAGTCAAAATTTTGTTCTGCAATTTGGAAATACTTTCTGCAAATACACAAGCCTCCATACTACAATCTTACAGGTTTATAAGCATGAACTATTGATTGATATGCAAATCAGTGAAGACAAATTTTTGGAAGTCCAAAAAGAAACAAAAGATAGACAAGTCAAGACAAGGTTGATGCAAATTAGTGAAGAAGCTCCTGTTGTTTCAAAACAGGAGCTTAATTGTTGTCTGTCCTTGGGGCCAAGAGCGCCAAATCCCAAGTGCCAATTTTTCCTGCTGCAAGATTGCAGATTGTATAAATTTTTCTTCTGCAATCTTGAAAATCTACCTGCAGAGTGCAGACTGCAGACAGGTATTTCGACCACTGATTGGCAACATTTAAATCTCATTAACTGGTGACAGAAATCAAGCACAGTAAAGATATTTTTCTTAATGATTTTGCATCATGAGAAGAGTTGTGCATTTTTTGTCCAAATCTCTTTGTTGATTGAATAATATTATCTATCAGATTTGACACAACATCAGGGCTTGTTATAGTAAAACCACCCTTCCCAAAAACCCCTGACAAGAAGTATATAAAATGTCAAATCGCTGTTCACACTTTTAAGCATAGCTGAAGAACTGGTAACTGTTACATGGATCTTGTTCACTTCCAAAATAAACAAATTATAATACTGTATTACTGAAACATACTATTAATACGATCATGAATCTCTGGTGCTACAAATGTACATCTGAGCACAATGTACCTATTTTGTCTGCTGCCTCCTGGTTTCCTCTCTCTGTCAGTCTTTTCAAGAGTTCCATTCTGGCGAGAAACGGTCCTCTTTGAAGTCTCTTCCCATTCTTCAGTTCTTCTTCTACTCTCTCCTCTACAAAAGCTATTGCCATATCTACAGTGCCGGTTACTACGTCATCAGATGAACTGAAAAAGGCAAAATTCTCCCTTATTCCTCGACATGTGAAGTATGTTAAAGCTGCATAATGTAACACTAGAATACTTTTGTAATAGTCGGTCTTGCCCAAGCCAGCCACCCAGGGGACCAGAGAAAAGCAGTCGTGTTGGACAGGTGGTCTTCTTGAAGAGGCTCACAACATGACTGAGACATTACTAGACTAAGTCTGGTGTTTTTATGTCATATTCTGTAAGTATCTTAAGATTCAAGGGACCTTAAATTAAGATGGGTCAAAATTTCAGGCAAAAAAATGAAAAAAATTTGCAAGGACATTGTGTTTTTGATTTCGAATCTATGATTAATTGAATGCAAAAAAAATAATTTTGCCAAGTGCTGTTACGCACTCAAAGATAAAAAATACAATATACTCAAAGAACTGTCGCACTTTGACAGACAACCGGCCAGATCCCTTTCCCGGCTAGTGAAACTATGCGCAAGCTCTAGTCATTTAATTAATATCCTTGTGTTAAAAAGGACAAACATTCAAAAACACAACAATTTTCATCGGTGAAGAACATTTGTGGCCGTCAGCTAATGAGCCAATCAGAGTGCAGGCCATGTGAGGTGAACCAATCAGAACTAAGGACACCTGATAGTATTTGCATATACAAGACGGCAACCAAACCTGATTGAATTTGCTAGCATTGTTTAGACTGGAAACATGAGTTCTTAACAATCCAATGAGCTAATTAAGCATCAGTGTGGTAGAGTGTTACTAAATTCTGAACAGTGCATATTTACCATTTGAAATACTGGGTGCATATGCACCTTTAAGTTAGTGCACCCAAATTTGGAGCTGTGCACCTAATTTGTAGGTTTACACTAGGCCAAGAGAGAGAGAGAGAGAGAGAGAAAGAGAGTGATAGAGAGAGAGAGAGAGATACACCATATTCTCAAGATCTGTCAGAAAGTGTCAGAAAAATACTAAAATCATTAGTACTTTTCTTTAGAAATACAATTATGATTTAGTTTTGACATTCTATCAAATTTTGTTTTATCTTTATATATGTTACAGCCAAAAAAGTTTTGGGCACCCAATTTTTTTAGGTTCGGTGCTCCAGTAGTGCACCTATTCCAAAAGATGAATTTCAAGCCCCGATATTTACCCTTCATCAGCTTCTGAAGGAGTCCATCCAGAGTCCACCAGGTGGAAGAGGGAGTTGAAGTAGTGAATGTACCACAACCAGTTATCAGGGCTGTAAAACACAACAACACTTCTCAATGTTTAGGTTTCTTCAATGTTTCTTACACTTCTCTAACTAATGAATGAATGAATGAATGAATGAATGATCATCATCATCATATCTTGTCGGCCCACTGCTCCAGCCAGTCCAGGGCTTCCTGGTTTGCATCGTACAAGTCTCGTTGAATGAATGATATGAACTTGAATGATTTTTCTTGGACATTCTTGCCCACAACTGTTGTAACAGTTTAGTTTAATAGAGTTTAATAGACTAAGTACATTTATTGTAAATATTAGGGACAGACTAAATCTAATGTTATCACTATCATATGCAAGCTAGATCTGACATCTGTGTCCATAATATCACCATAGTCCATAATATTGCCACCTTGAGAAATTGTGTGCTTAAAGATATTTTTACTGCAACATACCCTAGGTACTATGTACATTTGAGGCCAACCCTCCAGACTAAATTTTTAGCTTAGGAGCGCATGCGCTCCTAGCCTCAAAAAGTTAGGCGCGCAGGCAAACATTTAGGCGCGCAAACAAAAAATCTGGTCGCGCAAAGTACTTTTTAATTTAGAAGCCAAGAGAATAATGTACGTAAGCAGACAATTAATAATTCTTTCATTATCATAGAAAAAAAATCTAAATTCACCATTTGTACTAAAAGAATTGTGATAAATGAAAGACCAAACAATGATTTTAAAAGTAACTGTCTTTAATGTGTTCAAAGTCACTTCATCTCAGTCGTTAGACCAGGCTGAATGATATGTCGGTCTCCTAGGCCTCTGCAGGGTTGGACAAGTTTTCTAAAATCCAACCCTATCGGGCAAGTGCATGGTCATTTTCACTTGCCCGAACCAACTTTTCACTTGCCCAAAATATAAATGACATATATCTATGCATTTATCATTGCAACAATGAAATCCTTTTATTTTTTGGGAAAAAAAACACTTAACAGATAACAATATTAACATTGCTACTCAAACCATTTTGTTATTAACGTTAAACTTAAAGGTACAGGTTTTCCACAACAATGAAGACAATCTTCTTTATTTTTTACAACTTTTCAGGTATTACACTACATGTCTGAAGTAGTTTCATTGACAAAAATAATTCATAAAAAAATAAAAGACAATAAAAAAAGCTCATGGAAAAATGACAGAGTAGAAAACAAGGGGAAGAATCTATTTGGAATTGCCTATAATTATTTAATAATAATGCTACACAAATGTCTAAATACCTTGAGTTGAAACTTTGCTATTAATATTAATTATTTCTTCAACTGTATCAAAACAATCTACAACTTAGTTTCAGTTGACCTTTGAACAAATGAAAAGTCTGCACAACAGCGATCTGCCCAAGTTTTCCTTAGAGGAGTTCTAGTAGAAAATCATATCAGTCACGCATTGCCAAACTTCCCTATCCAGCACGCTCCTGGGCCATGAGGGAGGATCTCTTTTCAAACACAAACTTTGCCAACAATCAAATATTTGTGGCTGATAAAGATATTTATCTCCTTGGTTTCCCCCCAAATTTAGGCCAGATGGAAACATCGTGTATGACTACCGGTCGCGCCTGCGGTCGCGCTAGGTCCACTGCACTACACTGCAAGCACAAGTTTTGAAGGCGAGATCTCGTCACCTGACCCCTCTAATGGTATAAGGATATCAAGTCTCGCGAGAGTCGGGCCGCGAGTGCACACCAAATGAAAACAAGATGGCGACCCGGTTGTGTCGGGCTTGTTTTTTCGCCGGAAAATAGCTGTTTTGCCGCTTTATTTGCTGAGATAATGGTATCTACGGACTTGTAATGGGTTTTCTGACAAATGAACATGATTTTGTCTGGCATTGATATGACATTCTTACGGGAAAAAATAAGAAATTTTTGCCTCTAACAGCGCTATAGCCAATAATTTAGGCGCACCGCGGATTCTCTGCCGGTCGCGCAGTGCGCGACCAGAGTAACAAGTTTAGTCGCATTTCTTAATTTTTGGTCGCATATGCGACCAAAACGGTCGCAGTCTGGAGGGTTGTTTGAGGCGTGCAGGAGTGCATAGCAAAAGTATGTTGCAGTAAATATAACTTAAAGCACACTATTTTTCAAGGTGGCGATATTATGGACCCTGGTTATATTATGGACAAGGATGTTACAGTGTACCATGTACAACACAGCTCCACATACTGAAAACCAGCATCTTTACATTTTGTACTTACTTTGTTAACAAGAGTTTCCTATACTTGGCGTTGGCTTTGGGCCAGTCCTCTAACTGGACGTACAGCTCAGCTTGCTTCAAGGACTGCAGCTCTATCTCTGATATCAACTTGTCTGCAAGGAAGTCAAGGGAACAGTTTTAGTGTACAATACTAGGTGAGAAAAGGCACTCACAATATTAAGTAGAAAGGCCAACAGTTTCTCACAAGCAAATACAGCATATTTCACTCCATCTCCCTCCGCATGTTTTGAGCAGTATAACCCTACTTACTGCCAAGTGGTCCTACAACAACCTCCAGGGCGTCCTGGTATTTCTTCTGCTTCTCTAAGATCATCAGATACAGGCGCACCTCTGAAACAAAGAAGAAAACGTACAGGGTCTGTGATAAAATATAATTGTATTTACATAGATATACATTGTAATGTATCAAGCAAGTCAACCATTCCTAGTATGAAACAAACTGGTCAAAATGCCACCATTGGTCCAAGTACAACAAGTAAGTTCCTGTAATGTAAATGTAGTAAATGACAAACATACCAACATTGCAAAGTGAAAATTATGTTTAATGTATTTGAATCTCACCCAAGGCAAACCATAGGCCATGTTGATTTGATTATATGGATGACATCCGCGCGCGCATGAATTTTCGGCCGTTTCCAAAAAAAAAAAAGTTTTCAACCATACTGTAAATCGTACAAAATAGTTGCAAAATGAGCAAACATATACCGTAAGTTACAAAAAAATAAGTAAAAACTATACCAATGTCGTAGAATGCCAAAATCAAACGAAAAAAGACGAAATTGTAAGGAAATGAACTTGAAGATTAGATTATTCGCCAAACCATATTCTGTCCCATTTGTTCAACCCTCATGACCACGTAGATTTCATAATGAAAACAACTTTTTTTTTTGCTAAAAACTTTTTTTTTATTCGCACGCGCGCATCAGTTTTGGGGCTCCCGGAGGATGTCATCCATATAATCAAATCAACATGGCCATATGTAAAATACTACAAAAATCATTGAAATTTAAGGTGGCAATTTTAGGCTACAGTTTGAATTTCTTGGACCTGAGATTTGTCTGGGAGGCATCTGAAATATACCAGACTCCTACAAAAAAAAAACATTCAAGCTATACTGGATACTTTTGACCCAGTGTTGACACCATACTTCATGTGACAAGTCTCACTGGGTCAGTCTACTGAGGAAGACCAGAGTGACTGGTCGAAAGCTGTAGGTGAGAACAATCCTTTGTTTTGGAACAAAAGTTTTTAACTCTAAACAACGTTCTCACCAGCCTCAGCCTCTATTTTGGTGTCCTTGGCCATTTTCTCCACCATGCGTTCAGCCAGAGGGAGGAACATCTTCTGAGACAGTTTCTCATCCTCAGTAGTCAGGGCCTGCATCACGATACTCATCACAGACCAGAAGTAGTACGGGTTCTTAGGGGCAACCTTGTACAGAGCCATGCCAGTCTGTAATACAGGAAAACTTTTCAGTTAAATGAATAGCAAAGCTACTGCGGTCACGTGTCTCTGACGTCACGTTCCAAGAGTAGACGGGTCCATTCCGTGAACAAGGTTGATGGAGTCAACCGAAAATTTGGGGTAAGTCCCAATTCTGTATCTAAGTGTTGGAAGTTAAAGCTTAGTCTTTATTTCATAATGATTTGTACCAACACAGATGGACTTTCATGCTATGAATAGCGAAGTTCTTTGACCACAACCATTTATCTTTCACAAGCCGACGTTTCGATGACCGTCTGTCATCTTCATCAGGGCAATTCTGACTGGTTTACTGTGCACTGACACTAGATGTTACTTGGTGCATAGTGCACTAAAGGTGTTAAATTGTTCCCAGTGCACTAAAAAATAAATGACGCGTTTAAATGTGATCAAAGAACATTGCTATTCGTTCGTTTACCAACCTGATGAAATTATTTACGGAGGTTTTTAGTTAAATGTTTGCTATACATAATCATGTAGCTTACACATATAACTGAATATGGCCTCCCAAACACTGTCAAACTCCCCAAACCTGTAAATATTGTACAATGTCTGTCTTCTCTATCACAACAAGTAGAAAATTAGTATTGTACATTGAGTTTTTTTATGCTTATTAACTGGTTTGAGATTAATTTCACAAACACAACACCTTAAATCTAATTTGTGTCACACTCCTGTAACATAGAGACTGGTAACAATCAGCATTCTAGCCAGCTTGAACATTTTTCCGTCAACTCAATTTTGTTTGATGTAACATCATTATTTTATGGAGTGCCCCACACAACAATCCCGGGGGGGGGGCAGTTTTAAAATCTTGACCTTCTGATTCTATAACACTATTGCCTGCATTTGAGGAGCAAATTTTGCTGGTACAACATACTAAGATTAAGCTTTTTTGAATGACATCTTCTTTCTGCCAATTTTTTGTCCATCAAAGAATGAAAGACGATAGATTGGGCAAAATTTTTGTCAGTTATAAGCAGCAAAATTCGGTCATATGACAGAAAGACAGGCTCTGGCTAGCACACTGGTAACTTTCCCCATGTATTTCCCATGTGGGGTTGTGTGGCGTAGCGGTAGCATGTTTGGCCCAGACTCAAGAGGTAGAGGGTTCGAATCCTGCCCGATGCACCAATCTTGTGTCCATGGGAAAGGCACTTTACAAGACTTTCCTCACTTCACTCAGGTTTAAATGACTACCTAGCTTCGGTTAGGGACGTCCCTCAGATAGGACATTAAATGGAGGTCCCGTGTTTGAGAGAGCCACACCCCACATACGTTAAAGAACCTACCACACTTATCGAAATGAGTAGGGGACCTTCCCGGTGTGAGTGGTTCGAACCTTACAGTCCGGTCTCGGGGTTGACATCTTTGAAGAGGTGATAGTCACAGGTTATGTCAATCCTTCCACAAATGTGGTAAATCTTCACATAAACTTAAAATTTAGAAAAAAATTATTTTCTGACCTGTTGTTGTTTCTTATACTCCCCTAACCTGACATAGGCCATGAACAGGTGGGACAGGAACTCTTCGCTCTGTGGAACTTTCTTCACCGCATTCTCATAGATCCTGGCAACAAGATCGCCTGAAAACAGATCTCTGTAGTAAGTACAAGTTCTTTCACATCCAGGGCTCAAAATTCATTTTTGGGAATAGGTGCACTGGTGCACTCAACCTATAAAATTAGGTGCACAAAAATTTTTTGGGGTGCACCATACATAACAAAACCTAAGGCCACACCAATTTAATTTGTTGGTTCTCTGATTTTTTTCAGAAAAAATATGAAGCGACAGGGCGAAAAAAAATAAAATAAAAACAGGTCTAGGCATCCTATTATAGGCTTAAATGCTACGAAATGAGCCATGAAGTCAACACAAAAGGCTAGGTTAAAATTTAAACATTGAATTTTGAACTTTTAATCAAACCACTGCAATGATAGATGGGAAAACCGTAACAACTAGGAAGAAAAGGACTTTCCTCAACTGTTGAGAGCAAAACATGAGCATTTTTCAGTTGATTCAGAACCAGAATCATTTTTTTTTTTTTTGCAAATCAGAAAAAAATGAAGAGGCGAATCCGAGAACCAACAAATTAAATTGGTGTGGCCTAATTACAGATCTTGAAATGGGAGATAACTTAAAAATCTTACAGAACTACTACAAGAGATTTTATTATTTTTCTGACAGATTCCAAGAATATCTTGTATACTATTAATATTATACATTTAGTATGTAAAAAGATACAAACAAAAATAATTGGGTGCTCCAGTGAAGCCGCGATATAATTATGGGAAAACGTTTTAATTATGGACTCCCGCCCATAAATCCCAAACGCTTCACCCAACTTTCTTAATACTTTTTAAGGTAACATATTAGGTGGTAATGAATATGCAGAAAGCGTTGATGAGTCTCCTGGGAATAGTAAAATTATACATAATTATACTATAATTATACATAATGATTTTGGTATTATACATAATTATACATAACCCTTTTATCCATTATACATAACTATATATAATGATTTTGGCATAATACATAACCTTTTTTATGTATAATGGTACAAAGGGTTATATATAATGGTCCAAAGTGTTATGTATAATTATAGATAATGGTCCAAAGGGTTATGTATAATTATGTATAACGGTCCAAAGGGCTATGTATAATTATGTATACAACCAAAATCATTATGTATAATTATATATAATTATAGTATAATTTTGTATAATTTGACTATTCCCAAGGGACTCATCAACACTTTCCGCATATTCATTACCACCTAATATGTTACCATAAAAAGTATTAAGACAGTTGGGTTAAGCGTTTGGGATTTATGGGCAGGAGTCCATAATAACGTTTTTCCATAATTATATCGCGGCTTGTACTGCATTCCTCTATGACTAAAGCATCTACCTCTTTCCATCTCCCTGTAACAGATAGTGAGTGCCTGCAGAGTGGCTTCTTCTATAGGTTCCTGAGCAGCCACTTCAGCTGCCAACAGTAGAGCCTCCTGTCTCCGGCTGCTTCTCAGCAGGGCAATGGCTTTCAGGGCCTGGGGAGATAATGGGAATTTAAATCTCGATCAAATGTTGCGAAAAAATGTGGCATTTCTAGCCAGGATTACAAATTTAAAAGTCATGCAAAACCCCTGCACTTCTTATATAATCCACATCCATTATTTCTCGTGTAAAACACATGTAGATGTTGATGTAATTATATGAATGAAGACCTTTATTGTACATTTTGCCCCACTGGGCTAAAGACAGGTCACATATTGACAAAGTACATCATCAATGTTGATAATAAAACGGCTATAGTACACAAGTACTTTCAACTTCCTCTCGCTTTCTGGTTATCTTATAAATGTAGTTGGCTGTATGAGTAGTTAGAGCTGGTTTGTTAAATACTACAAGGAATATAAATTTCTCTATACTATTCAAATACTTAAATTGGGAGTATTTGCTTGACACAAAATCGAAAAGAACGTTTCTTTCGCTGTCATACATGGAACAATCCACAATAAAATGTACCTCATCTTCTACTTTACCTTAACTACAATATTGGCAGATTCTTTGCTCTAGAGGAGTGCGATTATGTCTTCCTGATTCAATTCGCAAATTGTGACAACTGATTCTTAGTTTAGTAATTATAAGTGGTTATACTTATAGAGCTGTGTACCTAAACAAATTTTAGCTACAGGTACACAGGTTTAGGTACAGGTCCGGACCTGAACCTGTACTTAAACAATTCCACAAATTAACATGTTCTTCTGAACTCCTTCCATAATGACAGAAACATGAATAAACTTGACAGTTAAGTGTGAGTTTTTATTTATGGAGAATTCTTAATATAATATACAAAACATGGGTAAAACTAAGATATTTTAGTTTTCATCTCCTACCCTGCAACACAAACCTGACCAAAGGGAGGGAGCATAACTAATATGCAAGAGATCTTTCAGGGTACTTAAGTTACACTGTCAGTCTGGATCACAAACACCTCAATTTTTTAAAAGCTTCCGACCCATCCTCCCTCTCGGCCGCTTCGCTCCCTTGACATGCGGCCAGTACCACTATGCTAAAATTAAATCCTAGCTAGAACCCTGAGCTCTATATGTGGTTATGCATCATGATACATGTAGATAGCCATACATAGTGCACAATTGGTACATGGCTTTTGCACAAGGTTTAACCGCATCTTACACAGCTTTTATGTATTTTGAATCGCGATTTAAACATGATAAATAAATAAATAAATAAATAAATGATAAAAATACATGGGAAGTTAATGGAGATCTGTAGTGTATGTACTTTCTCTGTACTACATTTGTACATGTACTGCATCGGCAATTCTACCAGCAGATCCTGATTGAAGTTTCTGTTGACAAAGTTCAAGATCTATACCGTTAGAATTGCAGCTGATTCTACCATCAAGCCAATCAGTGTGTGGCCTTATAGTAGTTATACAGCTTGTAGTTACTCTGACTGAGTCTGAGGTAAACAGGTGTATAAAACCAACCTTGGCACATATCAGGTCCTTCTGCTTCCTCAGTACTTTGTCTGCTTCCTGTATCGCCTTCTTGTTGTTACTGGCATCTAGGGCATCTGACAGACAACAGAAACATCAGAAAATGTAATTAGATAAAACAGATTTCAGTATAATGTGATATACATGCACAGTAATAAATAAATATAGAATACAACACGGGTATTCCGTATCGCCCGAGGTATAGACCCGACCACGAGTCAGATCCCCAGACGGCTGCAGGCGATCCGACTTGCGAAAGGGCCGGGACCGAGGGTGATGCGGAATACACCGTGTTGTATTTTATTTATGTCATACCCACCCAAGAAAACTCGCCTTTCAATGCAAAATGAACCCAAGTTTGGTGTCCCTAAACTAAAACATGCAACAACATCAATTATTCCAACGTTCAGATTCTGTATTCAAATTTTCGAAAGTGGCGCTCGCGGTTAGGGCAAAACGCGTTCGAATTGTTCTATGGAAGCCAGGGATGCCCGGGCTGTACTCTATGGTACGGCCCGGTCCAGAACGCGTTATGGAACATTATCGCGGCCCGGGTATGATATAATATAAATTATTGTGAAATATGCAGAAGACTATAAATTTATATATCAGAGTCAAAATCCTTTTTTTCAATGTTCTGCCATTTTATTTATTGCAGAATGTCACAACATTGTTCTGCAATTTGGAAATACTTTCTGGAAATATGCAGACTGACTCAAACCTATATATATACAAAATTGCATGTTGGCAAACATTTTACATGCAATTTGGAAAATACAATGTCCTGCATAATAGGTATATCATAAAGTCAGTAGTATTAGTACAAAGGCTCCTAAACAAACACAATGGAACCCGTCCTGATTTTTTTCACTGAATATAACTATAAGAAATTTATCACCCTTCTAGTACATGTCTGTACCAGCAATGTGGAGACACCCAATGCAGAATACACCACATAAAAATCTTTTAATATATCAACCAGTTCTTCAGTTATCCTTGATCAAAGATTTTTAAACAAATACAACTGCAGTTCCAGAACAAGCTGCTAGGGTACAAAGTTACATCACTTCTTCCTAGCACAAAAGCTATCTACGGTTCATCTAAAATTTGAGACCCTAGCATGCCAAAATTACTCACTCGATATTTAAAAATCGGACATTCCACTGCAGTACCATAACAAGTCACTAGGTGCAGCCCAATCTCATCAAGACCTACCCACTTACAATGTTTCATGACAATCCATTCGGAGCTTGAGTTATCGTGCTAAACCACATACATAACCTACACACAATGCATACAAACGTTACCTTCAAAACATAACCTTCTGGCGAAGGTAATGAACAAACTTCAAACTCAGCTGTCATCTCTATAGCAGCAAAACAAAGTACTCTTACATGGCTTCATTTAAAAAAGACATATATCATATTATATGGCATATAATTTCATCATTGGCTTTGTGAATAAAACGGAATTACGGAGGCGGTGGAATGAAGAAAAATTATGCATAGTGTTCAATTAGAAACGTATGAATTTGACAGGAATAACAGATTTTGTCTGTTGCCACAAAATTATGTATGCATCCGATTCTGAGATCTACATGTCACCTTTGAATTGATATTACATTTGGACCTCAACTGGGGCAAAACAAAGTAAGATGTTGCTTCACGACATGTTCTACACGGTGACAGAGTGACTGAAGTATTCTCCGCGGCCTGGCGAGGCCCGACAGGAGCAGAATTTACCGTATATCGGCCGGAGTCTTCTCTCGCTCACATCCACATGGCCGCGACCCGCCATCTTGGAGCGTCTGTCGAACAGACTTGTGGGGCGGCAGGCGGCCAGAGGTCGGCTACACGTTTGTCAACAACAACAACAACAACAACATCATCAACAACAATAGCGTTTATGTCATGTATGCTCTTTTTGACACAGAAAGATGAGATCTCTATGTTGTTTCTACGATTCACTTTTTCGCCTGAGAATCAACCAGAGGATGGTCAGTATTTTTGTCAACCTTCTTCCGCTTCCTGAGCTGTAGTACCCTACAAAAGAGGCAGGTGTCGCTGAAGAGTGGTCCAGTCGTGTACCCGGAAGTGACGACACTAATCTACTCTCTGCGTGAAACTGGTTGTTGTCGCTCGTCGATTGCCGTGGGGAACAGAATGGAGATTGAAGGTGTGAAAATTCGGTTTACTACTAACGTTACTAGTATTAGTAACTTTATCATGATGTTGCTGTTTCATTGATTCTGCCCCGAAATTCAACATGACAGCGTGTCAGTGTGTGTGTGTGCATGTGTGTGTGTGTACATACGTGTGTGTTTGTGTGTGTGTGATGTGCACGTGTGTCTGTGTGTGTGCACGTGTGTGCCAGTGTATTTGTGAGCGTGCGTTTGCGCGCGTCATTGTGTGTGTGTCAGTGTGTGCCCGTCAGTGTGTGTGTATGTGTTCGCGCGCGCGTCAGTGTGTGTGTGTGTGTGTGTGTGTGTGTGTGTGCGTCAGTGTGTGTATGTGTATGTCAGTATGTGTGTGTGTGTGTGTGTGTGTGTGTGTGCGCATGTATGTGTGTGTGTGTGTGTGTGTACATGTGTATCAGTGTGTGTGTGTACATGTGTGCTTGTGTATATGTGTGTCAGTGTGTATGTGTGTGTGCACGTGTGTGTATGTGTGTAACATTACATGTATGTGTGTGCGTGTGCACGTGTGTGTCAGTGTGTGTGTGTGCGCGCGCGTGTGTAAGTGTGTGTGTGTGTTTGCGCACGTGTGTGTATGTGTGTGTGTGTGTGTGTGTCAGTGTGTGTCGGTATGTATGTGCGTGTGTGTGTGTATGGGGGAGGTGACGGGGGACATCTTAGGTAACAGTACCTACATGTAGTAGTATATATAAGCTGTTGTTACTAACGTATATGTATTATATAAAGGGGTGGTGTGTAACGTGTTGTTACTGCATGTACCTAATGGCATCTCCTACATTGTGCATGTAGTAGGTTAAAAGCTAGGTTGTATTTTATAAGCTGCCAAACCTCACTATTCTGTGTAACATGCTCTTCTTGTTGTGTCCTCAGCCCCCATGGATAGACCACCATGTCCTGGGTGTTCAGCCTACCTGAAAGAACCCTTCATCAAGTGTGCCCAGTGTAAACCTCCAATACTGCTGTGTCTACAGGTGAGCCTGTACTACTACACTCTACCTACACACTACTTCTACCATGGGGACAGAAACAGATCAGGAGTGAGGGGGAAAAATTATGGGGGACCCCCAGGTGTCAAACCCCTGCATGTTAAAGAACCCAACACACTTATTTAAGTTTAGAGGTGACCTGATGATGTGCTCTGACATGACTTCTCTTGTTACTCGTTCAAAAACTAATGACTTTGTAACAGTGGTAAGTTGAACAGTGGGGGGTTTATAGGCGCTACCAACTGGCCTGGCTGACGGGTCTAGACCTTTTCGCCCGAGCAGTTAGTCAGTGTCGGACTGGTGCCCGGGAACCCACGACCTCCTGAGCACCTGAGTCCGACGCTCTAACTGCTTGGCTGAAAAGGTCTAGACCCGTCAGCCAGGCCAGTTGGTAGCGCCTATAAACCCCCCACTGTTACAACTTAACAACCCTGCTGGTCAATATCTCGTAATTCAAGTACTAATATTCAATTTTAAATTGAAATAGTGGGGTCGTGTGGCATAACGGTAAGAGTGTTCACCTTGGAACCAAGAGGTCCACCGGAACCACCGATTTTGTGCCCTTGGAAAAGGCACTTTACACAAATTTCCTCACTTTGCTCAGGTGAAAATAAAAAAAAAACTTGAGTGTGCCGTGGCCATGTCTTGTAAAGGATGTTGGAATAAAATGGACATTAGCTACATGTACATGTGCTTGAAGTGAACTTATCACAGTGGTCATTGTACCTTATACTACTAGTAATGAATTATTTTTCCATTTTGTATTTTTGCACAGTGTTTTGCAAGGGGCTTTGAAAAGGCAGGCCATGAGAGTGATCACAGATATGAGATCATCGTGAGTAACTAAGTGTATAATTACCTCCGGGGAAGGAGATATCCTTCCGCGAGGAGGTTTTACTATTGTTCGAAACATTTCTGTCAGCAGCTGTTTCTCGCGATCGGCTGGACGGATTTGTCTGTGGTTCGGTATACGTATTGCTGTTGGGCTGCAGATGATGCAGAACGTTTTTGTTTAATTGTATATGTGTTTATGGGCGTGGAAATAAAAGGTTTTTAAGTGCTCCGGACACCCCCGCCATGCTGAAAATGGAATTTACCATGTTGTTAAGGAATGGGGAGGTTTCAGTTTTGGGTCTTACCATTTAAAAGGGGTCAAACAGAGGGGTGTCTGGTTCCGATAAAAACGTTGGGTGACGGCGCAGCAATGACGGCGTGGGATGACGGCGGGGGTAATGGCGCGGGTGACGCTGAACGCTGGGTGCAAGCCGAGTCAGCGCTAGATCTTCGTGTCGCGGCATTTACTTCCAGAAATACGGCGATACACGTCAAATTATTTACTCAAGTACGGCGCGTAGCTAGCATGGCAGCAGCCAGCAGAAGCGGTGGGCGGGCGGTATGACGTATCCGCGTTACGCGTCTCTGATTGGTTGTTCGCTTCAGCTGAGATCGCCGGGCGGCAACATGAAGGGCGCGGGGACGCGAATTTTCTGTTTGAAAATATGCACTAAACGCTGTTTTCCAGGACTGCATAGCCACATCTAGTGAAAAAGTGCACAATTAATATAAATTTGGGGGGAAATATTTGTTTCTTTGTCGATTTATGGTGTCGATTTATGGAACCCGGAAGTGCAGCCGAGACCAGCGCGCAGCGTAGACCAGCGTGGCAGTTTGACGTGTACGATCAAAACATAAACAAAACTCCCGCTGAAGAAGGGAAATTATCCTGTATGTATGCATTTCAGATCCCAGTGACTATGTTTACGATGGGAATAATTGTGGATACGCACGATGCGCACGATAAGCCTCAGAAATTTATGTCGCAAGTGGGGCATTCTATAGGCTTGCACGGCCAATGTCTGGCACGCTACGCGGCGTACGTACACTGCTGCACATCACAGCCAGCGATTCAGTGTCTTAAAATATTTTTTAACATCAGTATAACAATATTTTTAAGCATATGTGATCAAATTTCTGTAAAAAAAAATTTGCACAATTGTAAACATAAAACATGAATAGATCGCTGCTATATTGGGCGTACCATTTCGCGTACATGGCCGGCTGCCCGGCGCAAATACTGTCCCGATTTTTCTCAGTAGAAAACCAGAATAAATCACGCACCCGTAATTTGGCTTCGACCCAGAGCTCCTACTTCAGAGTTGAAACCTCAAAAATAGTAACTTTATTAGAGCATGGAGGTATTATACCTCTATGATTGGAAGAAATATAGTATTGCGACACGTGCATAGAATTTGACAAATGGGGGGGGGGGGGCGTGGCGCTACCTAAAATTCTGCTGCGCTACCTAGTTTTTGCCCTATAGGTAGCACACTGTGCTACTTTGCTCAAAAAAGTATTTCGAACACTGCGTTAATCAACAGTCCTTACCGAACCAACCGTCAGTAGCCATCAAACCGGCATACAAACATATTACGCACATAACTTTCATACTACACACAAACAAATAACCTAAACCAATAGAAAAAAAAACCCGGAGGTTTGAAATCTACGATTTCCCTTGTTTTTATTCTGTCATCAATATCTAAACTGAAAAAAATTTCACATGTATTTTCAGTGAAAACAATTGGCCTCCAATCATGGATTGGCTGTATATAAGCAATGTTTCTATGTTATGCATTATAATCCCTTTCACTTTGAATATAAGAAACTGTATCAATTTTATAATTTGATATTCCTAACATCATCTGACCTACATTGTACATGTATTTCACAACATTACTAGTGGATCTCAACTCAACACAAATACATGTACTTCAGAAAGTTAACTTTAATGAATAATACGTATCTCAATCATTACATATCAGTAATATCATACTAAATCGGAAAGCATTATAATTACTGTTTACATACAATCATGTACATGTACCATATTTGTCATTATCCTACATTGAAAGGTCAAACTAGCAGAGCTTCACAAAAGAAAAGTACGGAAAATTCAGTGTCTAATACATGTATGTCAGCAGTGGTATTTTCAGAGACAATTTGCATCAAATGGAATCCAGTTTCTGCAGTTTATTTTAACGCTGTGTTTTCAGACCAATGAGTTCCCAGTGTTTGACCTTGGCTGGACGGCTGTGGAGGAACTCAAGCTGCTGGAAGCACTGGGGGATTGTGGGATTGGCAATTGGTAAGCAGTTGTGTGAAATAGGGAAAGGGTAGATTAAGTTCACCTGTTAGATTTGTCATCATCTTCAGTAACTGACCAAAGAAAGTCAGAAATAAAGAAGACAGACATGACAGAATCCGCGATTGGAACGCCCTGCCCACAGACACTGTCCAATCCCCGTCCCTGGCCACCTTTGTCTCGAGGGTGTCCAGTCCGGCCTAGACTCAGTCACGCTGGTGACCTTCGACCCGAGACATGTCAATTATTGCCGGTATCGGCAGTTGGACATTACCGGAAGAAGAAGAAGGAAGTCACAAAACATCCTCAGGGTGGATTTACACCTAGGCCACACCAATTTAATTTCTTGGTTAACAGATTTTTCTAGAAAAATAATGGAGCAGGCAGGTGAAAAAATAGAATAAAAACAGGCCTAGGCATCCTATTATTAATCTCCAAGCAGATCATACGGTGGCAAGGCAGT